GATTAAATTTTAAATATGAACCGGTTAAATCTTAAATATGAGCAGATTAAATATGAACAGAATAAATCTTAAATATGAGCAGATTAAATATGAACAGAATAAATCTTAAATATGAGCAGATTAAATATGAGCAGATAAAATATGAACAGAATAAATCTTAAAATGAGCAGATTAAATATGAACAGAATAAATCTTAAAATGAGCAGATTAAATACGAACAGAATAAATCTTAAATACAGTATGAGCAGATTAAATATGAACAGAATAAATCTTAAATATGAGCGGATTAAATATGAACAGAATAAATCTTAAACATGAGCAGATTAAATATGAACAGAATAAATCTTAAACATGAGCAGATTAAATATGAGCAGAATAAATCTTAAATATGAGCAGATTAAATATGAGCAGAATAAATCTTAAATATGAGCAGATTAAATATGAGCTCACAGATCACTCTTCTTCCAGGGGAGGAGAACTCTCGTGTTCAGGCTCACATGGACAACAGGGAGTTCTCGGCTCACATCCTTACTGATGAGGCAGAGTACAACATTGAGGTGCAGAAACATAAATATCAAACATCTTAAAGTTTTCAGGATCGTAAACGTTCAGCTGATGGTCTAAATGTCTCTGACCTCTCTCAGCCTCTGTGGAGGTTTACAGCGACGCCCCCTGATGGTCGGCTCCTGATCTACCGCTCAGAGGACATCAGGAACATCAGCCGGCTCCAGCGGCCCTCTGTCTGTGGCTACGTGGCTCCTGACTCCTCCCACCTTTTCCCCTCTGGCATCAGAGCAGCCATGTTGGATCATCAGGAGGAAGAAGAAGGTTCCTGTAGAGAAACAATGGTTTTCAGGATGTTCCAAGAAGACAAAACAACTTAAAGGTCTCGTTTGTCCTCTCAGAGTCCACGTTGAGACGGAGACGTCAGGCCTACGACCACAAGAAGAACACGTGTTCCCTGCTGCTGGTAGCCGACCATCGGTTCTTCAAACACATGGGCCGAGGCGAGGAGAGCACCACCCTCAACTACCTGGTGAGACCCTCACCTCCATCACAACCAGTTAAGCCCCGCCCCCTGCATCTCGTTTAACCCGCTTCCTGTTGGCGTCTCCAGATCGAGCTGATCGATCGCGTGGACGACATCTACAGGAACACATCGTGGGACGAAGAGTTCAGCGGGTATGGGGTTCAGATCCAGCAGGTGAGCAGCTGATCTGTGGAAGCCCCGCCCCCTCAGCAGGTATGACACTGACGTGTTTCTGCTGTCAGATCATCATAGAGGACACTCCCACTGCGGTTCCTCCTGGAGGAAGTCACTTCAACATGGAGGGGAGTCCGGTGGAAGGAAAAGACGTCTGGGACGTGAAGAAGCTGCTGGAGGTAAAACAGATGACACCTGTCAATCAAATCATCTCTGACATGTCTTTGATCTGTTTGTCCTGAAGCAGACACCTGTCAATCAAATCATCTCTGTGTCTCTGACCCGTCTGTCCCTTCTGCAGCAGTTCAGCCTGGACATCGCAGAGAAAGCGTCCAACGTTTGCCTGGCTCACCTCTTCACCTATCAGGACTTTGATGAGGGCACTTTGGGTCTGGCCTACGTGGCCCCGTCCAAACCGGACTTCCCTGGAGGTCTCTGTTCCAAAGGCAAGTCCTGCTGCCTCTTTGTCCCGATCGGTCCTCTGATGGGTCCTCTGATGGGTCCTCTGATGGGTCCTCTGATGATTCCTCCGATGAGTCCTCTGATGGGTCCTCTGATGGGTCCTCTGATGATTCCTCCGATGAGTCCTCTGATGGGTCCTCTGATGGGTCCTCTGATGGGTCCTCTGATGAATCCTCTGATGGGTCCTCTGATGGGTCCTCTGATGGGTCCTATGATGGGTCCTATGATGGGTCCTTTGATGTGTAGGAATTACTTC